CTGTGCCACGACCCCCCTGTGCTGGGTTTTTTATTACAAAATTTTATGTTTAAAAACACAGCACAGAGTGGTCGCTACACAGTGGTGACGAGGCAAAGTTGGATCAAGTATAATGATATCTGACATTGATTAAAATCACTATTTCACTATATTAATTTCTCAATTTTATTTTTACATTTATGTAAAAATAAAATCGAGAATTTTCACACAAAAATAGCATTCGGTAGTCATTTTCACTGTGAAGATAAAATAAAGTCCGAAATTTTTTTTTTTCATAATAAAGTACATTACATTAGCTTTAATTTAAGATGTATATAAAAGTATCAGACTTTCCGGAACACTTTTAAAAGTTAAGTTGAAAAAGTTAATTTTTTGTGAAAAAGTTGTCATTTTAAATCCCCCCCTATAGTCAGGTAAATGGTCAGATTTATAAAAAAAAGTACCAAATGATAGGTAAACACATCAACCTACTATAAAAAAAAGAATTATATTGATTTGTTCATTTATGAAAAAGTTATAGCAGTTTTAAGTAAAAAAAATTGAAAACATTTCGAAAATGAGCGATTTAAAAATTTGTAATTTTTTTGGAGGTTTCCCTCATTTACGGGAAAAGAGGGAAATTTTTTTAATTTTTGAGGGTAATATCTTTGACTAGATACCATTTGTGATCTTTTAACGTATCAGTATCTCTATATTCTATCCCAACTATTTGAGGTCGGCTCTAACCGAACGACGTAAGTTATACTAACGTAATACAACTTCATTATGGCATAGGAACCAGTATAAAGGAAAAATGTATGTCACTGTTAAAATTCCAGGATCGTCACCCATCTGGGAATCAATAGTAAATAGCCCTGCTGATCATTAGCGCTAAGACAGTGACTAAATGACCACTGCGCCTCATTACATTCCTTATTTTATTTGGTTCTTATTTATTCGATTTCAAACTTTTATATAATAGTATTATTGAATAGAAATGAATAAGTTATATTCATTATTAATTCTGTATATATATTTTTAAGAAATTTAAAACAGTATATTTATATTTAAATATTTTTTATACATAGATATTATCTATGGGTGGTCCTTATTTTTTATCTTTATAAATTTTATATCACTGGCTCGAAATTTTTTTAGGTTTACTAAAAAAATAATTCTGGTAAAATTTGAGGCTGATAAGTCAACTCCTTCACGTGCCTCAAAGAAGTTCTACGAAAATCTGGCGTATTTTCTATATTTAAGTGTACGCTCTTTAAATTTAATGTGACGTCTAAAACACATAGAGCTATTATTATTGTACTTGATATTGTCGCGGTCGCATCGCGACTCCAGCTTTACCACTGGATGGCGATCGCNGAGTATGTCGCGGTCGCATCGCGACTCCAGCTTTACCACTGGATGGCGATCGCGGCGCTTTCCCTTTACGTCCGGCAGGTCGCGCCATACGGAGTGGCCGACGGACGGCTAGAACCGGTCCAGGCCGCCGGCTACTATCTATCACAAGATACATATAAGAATTAATGTTTGATATATAGAATTTTGTCTAGTGTGTTGTAATACTGTTGTTTAAGTTCTTATATATAAAAAGTTAAATATATATTAATATAAAGTTAAATACGGTGTAATTAATTATTATAATCATTAAAATATCACCTAACAACACAACAATATGAAGAAAAATAAGTGTCTTGATGTCATATAATTTTAGGAAAAATTAACATGGTTTTAGTTTTTTTCTTGTACTGTTTTAAGCTTTAAAATTATTATAAATTGTATAAAAAGTAAAACTACATGCCGTTTTTTAATTGTTTAAATTAAATTGTAAATGATAGTTTCTGCGCCTAACACATAGAAAAAGGAGCTCTTCTAGTAATTTTCTTATTAATCAACAAGATAAAGCAATATGATATTTGATAATATCTCATTACCTAATGTATGTGAATATAGTTCACAATTTATTTAATTATTCATAATAATTTACAATTATACATTGGTACGATATGACTAATAATATAAACATTTTGTTAAATTTTAATTCTAATTTTTTTGTTTGATGTTTGTTAAATCAATGTCTTTATTAGTAGATGGATAGTATTAGTATTTAATTACAACATAGAATTTAATTAATTGAAAAGATTAGCTTATTCCAAATTTTATTATTCTGCATTGCATTAAAGTGTTTTATTAGTACTCACACTAAAATGGTTTTAATTAATTACATATGGACGTATGTGGGTGATTCAAATTCTCGATAAAAACTGCGAGAAGTTTACAATAATACGAAAATAAATCGTTAAATTATTTTAAGGCAAGTAAACCCTAAGTAGATTTTAATGAGTACTTTTTATTATCGTTTTATTTGAATTAATTAAATTTTATGGACAAATAGTGATAAATGTTCTATTATTGCCTATTGTATACAAACACATTTTTTGTTTAATAAAATCAATGTATTAATTGTACTCTAATTCGGTTGTCTCATTAGAATAAAATAATACTTTTTAATAAATTGTATATTTTACTTGTTTTATAACTTTAAACAAAAGATTTATGAGAGAATTATGGTTGTTAAGAAAAAACTCAATATTAAAAAACACGATGTTTTTTTCGTATAAGTCTCATTTCAAAATCTTTCATGTCTGAAAAAATCTTAAGGTTAGTTTTGAGATTAGAGTATAAAATAATTCAGCTTTTATTAATTTCACGTAAGTTTTACAAAAGTATATTTAGACATTTTTTGGATAGGAGGGCTGAAGAAAATTTGTTAATTATTTTATAATAATAATTTTAATTTTTGTTGTTTTTTTTTTGCTCATATACTTCTAAAAATAAAATTTTTGATAAATAATTTGGTTTATGAAAACATTTTGGTGGGTCAAAACTTGCGTCCCTTGGGAAACTTTATAACTAAATCTCTTTATTAAAATAATACTTTTAGAAAAAAATAATTTATTAAAATAATTATAAAATAAATTATAAGTTGTTATTGTATTACAAACCTTTAAGTGTGGTTTAATCAATCATTTATACATTTCTCTAATGGTGTTGATCATACTTAATGATGATTAAGATGATGTCGATTTTAAATTTATTTTCCAGACATTTAATTATCACATAATTGATGTTAATTATACTATTAAAATATATATTTCATAAAACAACTTTTAGTTAATTAGAATAAATATAAAGTAAAGACCATAATAGCTGTCATGATATTTGCAATAATTATGTTTGTTTAATCTGTTTATTTAATTCGACAAGTACAGATACATAACATAACTAATAAATACAATGCAAAAAATGTATGTAGTCAATTTTTTTATATATTTTTAAAAAAATTTTCTTAATATATTACCTTGAAAATAATACATAAATATATAATGAATATTAAATATTAAATAAACTCTAATAGATACATTCATAAATTAGAGTAAAAGGAAAAAATCCATGTTGACTATTAGTTTATTTTTAGATTAATATCTGTCACGGGAAAAATCCAACATATTAAATGTTTTTTTAAATAATTAGATGATATTGATTTTAACTCAAATCATGAGTTAAAGACTTTTTATTTTATAAAAAAAAAACTCATAAACTATGAAATTATGAACAAATATTTTTTCTAATCGTGTTAATGCTTATAGTCCAAATATAATACAGGGTGTAAATCTTTCGAACCATAGTAATGTAAGGGCGAGTATCCCCGAATTTCTCTAAAATTAAAAATAAATCATACCATAATATTTCCCGCAAAATTCTCATACAAATTGAGTGGTCATTCGATTTTTTGTAACTTTTGCGCCCTTCCTTGAACTTTGGGTTCAAAGTTGGAAAAAAATTTCACATTAGTGTGACCCACCAATTTGTATTGTAATTTTACAGGGAGTTCTGTGATGTCGTTTATTTTTAGTTTAAACGATTAAATAACAAGAAAAACCGAAAAAACCTACAAATAATGTAATATTTATGCATTTTTATTGCATAAAAAAAGAAGCTATATTTTAAAGGTTATCTAATATTATGTGCAACTTAATTAGTGACTATTCAATAGTGAACAGTATTTTTCGAACATTTAAATAAACATTAACAGGCTCAGTGATGTACCATATTCTCATTATTGATTAATTTCGGAAAAGAGTAGTGTGCCGATTACATTAAAATAATTATTTCTAATTATCCTATTGTAATAAAGTTAAAAATATTCATTTCAATATTATGATTGTTTTATTTTCCCGACCTAAAAAGAAAAAAATTTATAATTTTTTAACAGTTTCAATGATAAAAATTATAATCGGTTTGAATAAATAATAAAAGACGAAATAAACTCGTGAAATTAAAAAAATATCACATTATTTATGGGTTTTTCGGTCTTTCTTGTTATTTAATCGATTAAACTAGAAATAAACTACATCACAAGACTCCCAGTAAAATTTCAATACAAATTGATAGGTCACACTAATGTGAAATTTTTTTCCAACTTTGAACCCAAAGTTCAGGGGAGGGCGCAAAAGTTACAAAAAATCGAGTGACCACTCAATTTGTATGAAAATTTTGCGGGAAATATTGTGGTATGATTTATTTTTAATTTTAGAGAAATTCGGGGGGTGGGGGGTTTATTCCAAAATTCCTCCAATTTTGGAGAAAAAAAAACGAGGTCCTATTTTACACTTTACCAGAATACTCGCCCATACATTACTATGGTTCGAAAGATTTACACCCTGTATATCTGAATTCAATACTGTACATAATTGTCTAGATTTTAGTTAATTTAAATCGAAAGGAAAAAGTTGTAAATATAAGTATTAAGTTATTGGCTATTTAAATCAGAAGGAATCGATATTTTTTGATTTATCACACTTTATATTTTTATTTAACAAATTATTTGGATGTCAAAAATTAAAAATACTAAATTCTTTGTAAGTTAATTCTTAACTTGTGCACTATTATATTTTATTTATATTATTTTACAGATATATTAAATATACGCATGATTTATCATTAAATTATTGTCATACCGTTTTATAGTAAAAATAACTTTTTAAGTAGAAATATGAATAATTAGGATATTGAAATAAAATGCCTGTAAAAAATATTAGATGTTTGTATGTTCTTAATCGCATTCGCAACATTAAGATAAGTTATACTTAACTTTATATTGAATTTAATGATTCAATAAAATTCAAAGTGCCTTAGATCAATATTAAAATGTATATAAAATCGTCCTGAACTTTTAACTTGATTTTTATACTTATATAAATCTAGTTTTATGTATTCCAATCATGTAAATATAGCCGAAATAGGCCAATAAAAATATGTCATTATCGACTATAAACCTTCAAAAATGTGTCAACCGTAACTAATAGATTATGACCTACTGACTGCACCGAATTTAATAGAAGTAGCTGTCCCCTATCGATTTGCTCTTCAGTCGCGTACAACCCAAGAATGATTTTTGGCTTAGAAATTACTTCCGATGTGAATATAGAAGTCATTTGAGGTATTGCATTAGGACTCACCTGTAAAAAATAAAAAAATAGTTTCGTCATATATTGGTCAAGAACGTAAGTTTATATGGTTGATTTATAAAGAAGTGTTACAAGTACATTGTATGAAGATATTAACTTACGCTAAAACGGGTACCACAAAAAACAATTGTGTTATCATCAGTACCTATCAAAGTGTACGTAGGTCCACAATCAATAATCTAAAAAGTATATTTATGTGTTATAATTTTTTTAAACAATTTTAGGATTTATATTAATAATAGTTTAGAAAGAATATGGGTACTACTAGTACAGAGTTCATCTAAAAATTTAGTATTTGGCGACAGTGTAAAATAAACAGTAGAAATCATAGGTGTTCAATTAAGTTCTGGGAAAAAAAAATTAACTCTACGAATAATAGTCGCCTCAATTTGAATAAAAATGTAGTAGTAAAAGGTATTTTATATAAAATATATATTTAATAATGGCAGTTTTTTTTTTATCAAATTCCGTGCAGTTTCAAAAGGGATAGTAAAAAATCATAAATATATGTATTTGATAATATTGATAGTGGCAACCTTTGAATCCTTCATTAAATCTTAGTTGCATGTTTAATACTTATTCATATCATTGTTTTTTCCATCTTGATAGTTATGTTTTTCATTCTAAATCTTTATTTAGAATTTATTTCAAATTTTATTTTTCCATATAATGGTATTAGTTGTAAACAACTCATTGATATATACTAAGAATAACATTTACATTTATAATACATACTTGTGCTTTGCTGCTACCGGGTAAACGTAATAGATTTAGCTTATTTTGTGATACATTCAGTTTCCCACGTTGTGAGTAAATATTACTTCCCCAAATAACGACTTGACCTTGTGCAGTTATTGCTGCGCTATGACACTCCCCAAGACACATTTGAACGATTTTTAAGCCCTCTAAGAGTTTTACTCTGGTCAACAAACTTTCAAATGGCACTTCTTTGAACTACAAATAGTAAATAAAATATGTCATCAATTTATTAAATTTTCAAAAAATATATAATTTTTTTCATCATGTCTGGATTTTATCCACTGCTTAAATATTACACTTTGTTTTAGTTTTGAATTTAAAATCAAAGATAAAAATGGAGAATTTTAATATTTTCTATAAATTTGTCATAGTTTACTGATAAAGAAATAGAATGCCTTTTTTTATAAACGAGTTTCTCGGAAGTGAAATTATGTCGTTAAACTTTAATTATAAAATGAAAAATTCTGACTCAAAAACAATAAAGTCGGGTCTTTTGTAAATTTATATCCAATTATTCACAGTATATACAATTTATAAATTTTTGTGTAAATATTGTGTATGTAAAATATTGAAATTAAATATTTATTATTATTTTTATGTTATGAGCCCATTCTCGCTTCTTTAAAATGGTAAAGCCAAAAAAGCTATTAAAAATATTAACTATACTTGTAATAAAAAAAATATTTAATTAAGAAATCAAATTAATGATAACTATTCATTTTTTTATGGTCCTAATCCTTGTTTTATATTTTTAATCATCAACATTTATAACTTAAATATAAGGTTTTTGCAAATATTTTTGGTGGTTACCTTTATACTAAATAAAGATGCTCTATTAAGTCCAAGTTTGTTACATTTATTTAATCCACATGCGTATACATTGTGGTAGTTTGTTATTACAGCTGTGCAATCTGGGCCACATTTTATTGCAGTGATTTTCTCGTCAAATGACCAATTTACTAAGATTGGAAAACAGCTGAAAAATATATTAATATTTTTATGCAATAATAATAAAAAAAATATAATTTAGTGAAGCAAGCTTTATCCTTACCGATATATCAAAATTATTATTTAATAATATTATAGCAACTTTTATATAAAATAGATAAAATAATATTTGTAAATCATAAAAGGATATATTCTTTATTTTTATGTTATGTTTAATAAGTAATAATATTTACACGAAAAATTGTAATATTAAACACCCACAATTATATTTTCAAATTAAATTAATTTTTCAATTTTTTTCAAGTGGTACTTTTTATATTATTTAATAAATATTCTGAAACATAAACATCTTTCGAAAATGGGAAAATATTGACATTTACTACTCTTAGCCCTTACTTTGGCTTAATAACCAAACTCGTCTTAATTATCTTAGTTCATATTTTGATGAAATTTTACAAGTAATAATAAACTATATTGAAAAATATACTCTAAATATATTCCATGAAATTTTTACAATATTTCATTTTTATCAATCAAGTTTGGAAAATGGAATTAAAGTCAATTTGAAAGGTAAAAATGATTTTATTGGTTGTTAAAATGTATGAACGATAATTTTCATAGTTTAATATTACCAATCTTGAAGATTACCAACTCCTAATTGTCCGTGATTTCCTCTACCCCAAGTGTACATTTGTCCTTCGTTTGTTAACGCAGCAACGTGATGATTGCCACAAGATATTTTCACTATGTCTAATTTCAACAAGAACTCTAACAAAAAAAATGATGATATCCTTCAATCACATAGTGATTAGCAACCGCGGTTCTATATAGAGTTGAGGACATAGGTTTTCTTAAGTACTTACCTATTAGTTTAGGTCTAGTAATGCCGTTCCATTCTCCATGACCTAAAGCACCATATTTTCCATCGCCTGTTGTTAGTACTAAGCCTGTGCTGCTTATAAAAATACTAAAATTTTGTCCCGCACCCACTCTATAAAAATTATAATTTACAATATTTTATTCATTATTATATCATTATTTTTGCTAATAATAAGCTATTAACACGAATATAATGTAAATGCATGTAAATTGTAAACCAATAATATACCATTACTTAGTGTATATTATATTAATTTGACAAAAAATGTTGCTGTTTTGTAACTAATGGATCAAGATTTTCTCACTATTTTTTCTATCGTTGAATAATATTTAATACATTTAGAATGTAAGGCGTATATGTAACATTTTTTTCTAAATTTTTATTACTAGATATTTTATTTTTCAATTTAATTGAACATTTATTCTAAATGTTTTAAATGTCAGCCTTTTAATTTAAATTGTACTGTAACTACGTCAGTTAAAATATAATTATGTACAAATTTATTTATCATATGTTTTGCAACATGTCATTACTATATTTACTTTTATTGATAAATTAAATGTTATTTGTAATTATATTTATGATATTATTTAAGAAATGTTAATGAGTATTTTTTTCCTATTGAAAAATAAATATTTTACTGAGTTATATGCTTGTCTAATAGCGATGCGACACACTGAGGATCGTTTTTCCAGGTGTTTTCTTCTCCATGACCTAATTGACCATGTTTATCTTCACCCCATGTAAAAACTAAACAGTCTAAAAAGAACTACATTATTCACGTCTAAATCTTATTTGTAGTAATTTTATCTTCAAAAGTATCTACAATTGTATTACGTACCATTAGTAAGCGCAACGAAATGCGTTTGACTGACAACAAGTTGAACAATTTTTACACGAAATGGCAAGTTTATCGGTTGTATACTTATAGGCATTGAAAACTGATAAACAACCGACCTTAAACCCATCCAGATAATACATAAATCTTTGTTTTTCAAAAATTGAAATTTAAAAAAATGGTTTTCACATCGTTACCGGTATTGTAAATCACTTTTAAACGATTGTAATTCATTGTCATTGACTGCCCAAGACGATTCGTTGTCCGACTGTAAAAAAATCGGAACTATTGTCACTAAATTATTAGCATCTGGTCTTCGAAGAGGATCTTTTTGCAATAAATCGCTAATTAATTTTCTCAAGTTAGATGAGTAGCATGGCGGTATAGGTGTAAAGTCTTCCTGATTTAAAAAAACAAATTTTTATATAGCAATAGTAAACTAAAGGTATAAAATGAATTACTTTTGTAATTATATGAATTAAAGCTGGAAGATTTGAGGCATCAAAAGTACGTTGTAAGGTTGTCATTTCATACAAAATACAACCCAGTGCCCAAATATCTGACTTTTGATTATACTGTTTACCTTCACACTTACAAATAATAGCCAATAAAAAATAAATATATTTTTTAAAGTACTTACTTAATATAAAAATATCTTACCATTTCTGGACTAATATAATAGGGAGTTCCAACAACGGTTAAAGCTTGTAAATTAGTTGTCATAATTTTAGAAATCCCAAAGTCACCTAACTTTACCTTGCGATCTTTTGTCAAGAAAACATTTGTCGTTTTTAAATCCCTATTTAAAAATCATATTAATTAAAATAATAGTTGAACAAAAAAAAGTTAATGTTGGAAATTTTCTCAAATTAATTATACATATATATGTTCTATTAAATTTGCTATATTTTCAATACCTATGAAGTATGTTACGTTGATGAATACATTGAATTGCTTCAGACATCTGTAAAAAAATGTCAAAAATTTGTTTTTCTGGTAATAAATTTGTACCACGGCTGATTAAATACTCCGATAATGTACCTCCATCAGCATATTCCATTTCAATCATAAGTACACCATCCAGTTCAAAGCTTCCGTAATAACTAATTCATTTAATTAATTTTTTTCACGAAACTATGTTAAAAGAATATTATTTAATAAAAACAAAATAATTACCTAATAATATTTGGGTGACAAAGTAATGATAACACTCTGGCTTCGTTCAAAGCTAGCTGTCTTTCTTGAGCTGTCATATCCAACATGTTAATTTGTTTTATAACTACCAAAATATTTTCATGTGTGTTTCGGTATAATGTGGCTACTCCAAAAGCTCCTATGCAGTTGAAAAATCAAATAATTTATGTGTTTTCCTTCTTTTTTGGGATTTAGCTTCGGTGCAAAGCTGAAAAGGTGGTATTGGATTTATGATGGTGCGTGTTTCTTTTTGCGTATGTTCATGCATATTCTCAACTCTCACTGTACCGAGTTTAATAATCAATATGTCAAAAGAACCTGATTTTAATCTAATTAGATCCATCATTATGAAATTTAACAGATTTGCATCTAAGCACTTTTTATGATGGTAGTGTTAATCACTATCAGATAATATCTGTACTTCTACGTCTTAACTTTGCTTATTCCCTCTGTGTCTAGGTTTTTTATAATTGTTATTCGTATACATTTTTATATTTCTGAATAATTTATAAATTTTATAACTCATTACCTACTCTAGATCATTAAACTGTCTATTCTATAGTTTTTTTTTATATTAGGATAATTTAATCAAAAAAGGAACGCACGTAAGTAAATAAAATGAATTTAAACGGCAAGAAATATACTGATGTTGCTATAAAGGATGTAACTAAAATGTGGCTAAAGGAGAGATAATGGGTTAAGCTAATATATTATTATTAATCGTGGCTGAGCAACGTTTTAGAGAACATTCTATATAAGAAAAATACATACAAACGTGAACTTAGGCAAGAGGATAAGTTTTAGGTCTGATCCTCAATTGAGAACATATCCTAATTCTGATAGTAATTCTGAAAAGTTTTGTTTATTTATAATAAAAAGGGTTTAACTGCCAAAAACAATAAAGGCATGTAAGCATTATACATTGGACATTATTGAGAGAAATTATGCATTATGATGCTACATTGTAAATTTTTTGTTTTTTTTTTTTCATATCAATATAAAAATATATTTTTTCGAGAAATGACGTAAAATTTATCATTTTGAAAAATCACTTTTTATAGCTATGCGATATTTTTTTATCGAGTTTAGATAAAAAAGTTATTTGGCACAGTTATATCTTTGATACGTGTCTATATCAGATGTTAAGTGGGAGGTTCATATATACCATANGTTTAGATAAAAAAGTTATTTGGCACAGTTATATCTTTGATACGTGTCTATATCAGATGTTAAGTGGGAGGTTCATATATACCCACCATACTACTCTGAGTAGTTACACGAGCTTACTCAATCCCACTTATCATTGATAACCGTCAAAACTCGTGGCATTATTGATATCAAAAAGTATAACAAATAATTACAATAAATCTTTTGTTAATAAAATAAAGATCACTTTATTTTTCTATCATCTTCTATCTTTGTTACAGATCCTCGTAATCTACACCGAGTATTAATATTATTATTACAATAAAAATAGTATCTCAGCCCAATCTTTCATTATTATGTATTTTTTTCTTTCTTTTTGACTTACTACAACTTATTTTGAATATTTGTCTCGTACGTTAAAAGAAATGACTATGAATTTTTTAACTAGCTTAAATTATCGTTTATATCCAAATATTCATGTGATTTGTGGTTGTCAAATCGGTCACACTTCCTCGAGGCCGTAACTGTGGGGGGGTTTTGGGGGTTCAACCTCCCCTCCCGAAATTTTTTCATGTTATTTTATGTTGTAGTCTAGAATAACTTTACCAGTAACTACGACAACACCAGAAAGAACTTTTTCGACGATGAAAAGAATAAAAAATTACCTAAGAAATGCAACTGGAGAGGAACGATTGACTGGCTTAGCATTACTCAGTGTTCATAGGAATATTACTGTAGAACCAGAAGAAGTTATTAATCGCTTTTCAAATGAAAAAAAAAGAAATCTAGAGTTTGTCATATAAACCATTTTCTCAAATTAAATGTATAGAATTAAGTTAAATAATTATTTTAAAATTTAGCAATAAAAATTAAATGTATAGAATTACGTAAAANGAATTAAGTTAAATAATTATTTTAAAATTTAGCAATAAAAATTAAATGTATAGAATTACGTAAAATAATTATTTTTAAATTTAGCAAAAAAATGTTTAAATGGAAATTTCATTAATAAATATTAGTACAACAATATTATGAATTTTATGGTATACTAAATTAGCTATACAATATTATAATAAAATTAAAATAACACAAATTTTTATTTTACAATCCTCCCTCCCCCGAAATTAATTTCCAGTTACGACCTTGCACTTCAGTTTTTTACAGTCGAAGTAGAATATTCGAATCCATCTTTGAAAAATTATTTGCATTTTTTCTTAATTCTTTTTGAAGAGGATAAAAATTTTAAATTTATTTGATTTTTATCTCATTTGGTTACTCAAACTGCAATTAGATTGTTTTCCATCAGTCTTTTTTATTTTTTATTACTAATTATTAATTTATAAAAACGATTATTAGCATTTGAAAATTGATTTTTATTTTTAATATATTAAAAATTATATGTTATTATTATAATTTCTTTCTATGTAACGCTGTTTAAATAGATGACACAATTGAAATATTCAGAACTATATTTTTTATAGTTATTAACCAATATTTTTAACTATTATATTAACTATAGTTTTTAACTAATTAGTAATAATATAAAAAATTAGTGGTGATAGAAAAAATCTAATTGTATAATGAAATTAGCACGAAAAATTAAATAATAAAAGTATATTTTTGAATCTGATGAAAATGCTTTGTAAAACCTTTAATTCATAATTAACAAAAAATTATTTTCCAAAAAGTTTTGCATCAAGTCCTTCAATTTTTATATACGTTTGATATAAAATTAATTACTATTTTATAATTTTAATAAATTCTCCGAAAAAATTGCAATATTAAATTATTCAATGTCAACCTCATTATATATGTATTTGCAATAATAAATATTTATTCATATATAATACTTTTAAATCAAATAATACTAATCAGGAATAATAATGGAAATAGGAATTCATTTTGCTTTTGGTATTATATAACACTTTCTTTAAATAAAATATATTTTGATTTCTAACGTACTAAGTCATAATTACAGAAATCAAATGTTATGAAATATTTAAAATCTTAGTTTTATTGAATTCAGATATAAAACAAAATGTATTCATTAGATTAAAAATTATGTTTTTTCGAAAACGTTCACTTCTTAAGTTTACTGATTAATGGTACTATTTAAACGTGAGGTAATTTCAAATCATTTGATAGACCTACTTAATCAGGAACAAAATAGTACAAATCCGTAAATTAGTTTTGTGATGGTATAAAGGCTTAATGTTAATCAATTCGTATTATAAAGGTCTGATATGACTAAAACTCTAAAACACTGCGAGTAATTGAAGATTTATTTTTATATATTACCTTTTCCTACAGTTCTTATTTTTTGATATCCATCTAAAGCTGTTTTTGTAGGTCGTATATCAGTGATGTTAAAGTATAATTCACCGTAAGATTCTTCACCCATTAAATCATTCCATATACCTATTTCGCACTAAAATCGATTATAAAAGTTATTTTTTATAGTTTATAATCAATTAAGGTAAAATACGAAACTCAAGACGTTTTAAAAATAATAAGTGTGTAAATGATATAAAATTGTTGAACAATGGCAACTGTGTACAAGTTCCAATAATAGAGTATTTTGCATATATAGCCCGAAGGTAAATTAAAAATATAAACTTCAGATGATAACTGTATTAAAACTTAAACAGTTTAACTTTTAATTTGTAAAAGTTGTATCATCAATACATAGAAAGTAATTCATTAAAAATAATTACTTCAGTTAATTGTCGAAGAGCTGAACATAATTGATGTTTAACGCAATTTGACACGAAAGAACAATTGAAAAAATCTAGTCTTGATGAACCACGTTGACAATATTCTGATAAAGATTTAAAAAAGTAACTTATTTCTGGATCATCTAATATGGTTTCATTGTTCAATATCTATAAATATTATTATTATTTACATGAATAGATAAACTATTATATGACTTAACAATTTTATTTTTATTTTCTCAGTTTAATAAATCTTATAATTCAGTTAAAAGATAATTAAATAAAATAAAAAATAATAATAGTACCGAGTGAAAAGCAACAAAATTAATGAATACCTTTTGGTCTATAGCACAAATATAAAATTGAGAATCGTCTGAGTGAAGAAGAATGGCGATACTCTTGACTTTTCGGTGCTGCATCTTGTCATCGACTTTTGCTGCGATTAAAAATACTTTATAAAAATTAATTTCAAACTAAATAAATAAATAAATTGTACTTATTATGCTAGTCTTACATGATAGGTATCATTATTATCTATAAAAAAAAGTCTATTGATTTAAATTTCATTAAAATAATAAATAATTAAAATACAAAATTCTAATTATTAAAAAAATCTTATCGTCTCATGCACCGATACGCGTGATTATGTATTCTAAAAAATCAATATTTTTTTAAAATTATTTACATTGTATAATACATTAATACATTTTAAAATCAAATTTAAATAAGGTGAGGACATTTGAAATAGTTAGGTAACTGTGTGTGATTAAAAAAGCTTCATTATTTAGGAATTACATATTTTAAACTAAGTTTGATTTATACAAATTTATTATGGACCTACAATTCTAATTTTTTTTGAAAATTTATGTTCATATAAATTCATATTTTAATAAAGAAATTAAGAACTTTTTTATTTTGAATGGACGATGAATGATTTTTTAAAAATAAAAATGTTAATATTATTTTTTTAAATGAATACACCAATATGCCAGTGGTGAAAAAAGTTCTTTAGCTCCATAGGAAAAATTATATCAACATAATACTATAATATATACAATACTTTTATATATTATATTAGGATTTATGGTAGGGGCAAAAATTTTTTTTTTATTTTATTATTTATCACTTACTCTTAGTAAAGTCAAAGTCACATAATGTTTAGTACTTATAATTAACTAATAAATAGAAATAGTCCTTTAGCCTTCCCTTGGCTACGCTATTGTACAGAGTGATAGATTTATTGTTGACCGCAGGATTACTTTTAAAATATTTATCGTCATTTTGCCTAGTATAGTACTACTTATTTTTCGATTTTAAATCGGTTAAATATTTTTAGGTTCATTTTTTATACTTTATAAGGGTACCAGCTTTATTCTTTAAATGGCACCACACATATTTTACTAGTTTCAATATTAGAAAATGATTAATTGATTAAACTTTTGTTCTAATATGTCGAAAGTTATTATCAATTTCTAGTAATCCCTCGAAGTGAGACACAAGTGTTGTTATTTTCATCACTAGTCATTTTTCGTTCATGCTCTTCCTACCGCATAAGTATAAGAATGTCATTAACATTTGAATACCGATCCAATAGTTTTTATCGATCAGTCATTATCTTAGTTAAATAATTTTCTAATATTTTAACTAGTTAAAATATGTATATTGGTATTGAAAAAAATATTATAAATTGAAACCTTTTTATAAAATATGCGCCTAAAATAATTAAAAATTATCAATATTATTTCAATTTTTGATTATTTAGGTGGTTCGTGATAAATATATCACCCTAAAACATATATATATATATATAATTTTGAAACTTTTGGAGGGTACAACTTTTATTTTAATTAAGCTCACAAAATAAAATTTATAAGTGAGCATTTAAATTTTATTTATAAATAATTTTTTTAAATTTACAATTAAATTGAAAAGTAAGCTTAAAAAGCTTAAGGGATGGACCTAAAAAATATTTAACCACTTGTAAATCGAAAAATAAATATTACTATATTAAGCAAATAAAAATTCTTTACAATTATTATTATTTTAGAAGAAATCTAATGGTCAACGATAAATTCGAGGTAAATTATCGTAAATTATTATTTGATAAAATAACAGTATGATTAATGTAATGATAATTTTACAATAGTTACAAGCATTGCCAGTGAGATCTGAAAAACTCTATATATTATGGATTTTGTTAATTTAGTTTTTTGAACCCTTTAAATTAGGTTATAAAGGAATTTAAATTTGAAGAAATTTGTTAATTTAGAGATTATTTAATAAATAGTGGCTTTATAAATTAAAGTTATTTTTATGGGATCTAATATATCTTCTTATATATTTTTCAAGAATGAGATGGGTCAAATATAATTAACTATATAACATAAGTTCACAATAATTACGAAAATTTATAATTTATTTTGCTTTGTCATAACGTGTGACTGATATTTTTATGAATTGAACTTGTTTGAAAAAAAAACGAAATACGTACAGATAATGTCATCTAAAGATGATGTATCGTAGCTGTATCGAACGACAAAAATACCGGACAATGTATTTTTAAGGGCTGATATGAAGTCAACCGCCTTATCGGAAACTAGTAATAGTCGATTAGATTTTATTCCATAATACATATTGTAATCCATTTCGATAAAATAATACGGTTTTTAAACTTAAAACTTGTGTAACATCGAGCTTCGTTATGCACATAAGTATTATTGTTTTTCAATCTAATATCGTTGACCCTATCGCCATATGTATGTTACATAAGTTGCTAGGGCAACAACCATATAACACTACGAAAGGTTATGTACATTTTTTAAATGGTTAATCACCCCTTCAAGTAATAACATGACGAAAATGCACAATGAAAAAATACAGTTTGATAATAATTTGTGATATTGACTTAACAACTTTTAATGTAATGTTATGGTGTGATGAACTGGGTGTTCTAAGTCCAAGTTCGATTATGCGGATAAGTGTTGTCAGAAAGAGTCAAAATAATAATTGTAATGTAACATTTACTGATTGAACACTGACCACCGGTCAGTGATCAGGTCCCTTTTTATTCGGAATAATTAACAATTAATGATATAATTAACAATATTACACTTTTTAAATGCTATAGTTTCTAATGATTATAATGTTTCTTACTTTCTAGTTATTAATAATATAAATTCCTTAAAACTAATATTTACATAATAATTATGAGTTCATGACAATGGTACAGTTTAAATGTATTATTCCTATATATCTAAAATTACGAAAACCCAAAAACACTCTATATACACAATATCTATCGGCACTGATTAGTATTATCAATGATAAGTAGGAATAAAAACACGTGACACGTTATGACATTCTAGTTCGTAGAACAATTAGTTGAACCAGTGCGTTGTTTTACGTAAGTTTCATATAATATGCCACAATTTTTAAGACTTGAAATAATTTCAAATATTTTAATAATTATTAATATATTTTCTATTGAACCATATATGCCTGATAAATGTTAAATGAACGCACTTATCATCATACAACAACAATTATATCATCTACAATGTGTAATTACAATATCCAAGAAAAAAATAAGAAGCTAACCACAAAGCAAAATATATTTGGCAATCTATTTTATCTCACTCCAAACATACTTAAATAAACATATTGTCCCTCTTAAAGAAAAATACGATGGTTTTATTTGAATTAAATATATAAATTATAGTATACATTCGAGTTAAAGAAAATGTATTATTCATCAAATTTTAATTATAAGATAGAAAAATGTGTTATTAATTATAATGTTTTATTTATTATGGGGTATTATATTTGTTCAATTCTGACATGAGTTAAATGGCGCAATACTTAGTTTATTGTAAATAAAAGATAAAAATAACATTACAGTAGTTATTACAGGAATTTAAACTTTAACATATATTGATATCACATACTATTTATTTTTAATTTTGTAATCTTTTTTAGAGTAAGCATTAAATTTTAGGTTAATTTGTAATAAGTGTAATAAACTAAAAATAAAACAATAGGAATAAAAAGAAAATATTGAATTTGATTGGGGAATATTTGGAATGTTAAATGTTTAAACTTATATAATTTTATTTTATTTATTAAGAGAAGTCTCTTATTTAATTTATATTAATTTTATTGGTGGTTTATTATGCAATAGGTTGTTGGAGGATCAAAAGCATATTTAAAATTGTATTTACCTTACGTCCTATGTAATGAAAAAATATTCCAAGCAAATCGACGTTGTTAAATGCACTACGTATACGATTTACACTACACGTCATATAGTCAATATAATTACTTAGAAAAATAATTCAAATTTTAAATAATACAATTTAATTACACAAAATCTATGAGTGATTTTACTTATAAAAGATTCTAAACACTCTATATTTTATTAGAATTATAATTTATAATTTGTCCTTACTTAATTTTTTTATGTTTGTTGAATAAGTATTTTCTTTTTAGAGAATATATTTTATTGAGAGATCGAAATCAATACTTCTTAAATCTTGCTCTGGCCAGGCCAAAACAAGATTCAAGAATATTTATATCTATGTAAAAAAATTATCAAGGCGGAATTGTGGTGGCTCAATGTGGTCCCGGCGCTAGCGCCTTAAAAGGACGCGGTACAATAATCACCAAGACAAAAATTAAACACTAAAAATATATTCGTAAGTATCTTTACTCTGTCCGCCGGCGTGATGCTCATTAAAGCAAAGACATTAAGCTCATTGACTAGCTACCCAATACACATAGGCTTACAAATATATTCTAACCTAATATACCTAATTCTAGAATAGTATCTAGTTGCAACCTTTACTCAGTCCGCCGGCGCGATGCTCGTTAAAGCAAAGACATTAAGCTCAATGACTAGCTACCCAGTAAGTATAGAGTTGTAATACACTTAGTTAAATACATTTATTAATAGATTAATTTAAGTCTTAGATTAATTGAGAAAATTGTGACCTTTAGCTCTGTCCGTCGGTACAATATTCGTTAGAACAAAGACATTAAACTCTTAGACTAGCTACCCAATAAGAAAAGCTCACAATAATTTTTTACTTAAAAAATATAAATATAAAGTTGGGATGGATTCATTATTAAAATAAATTAATTAAAAAAGATTTAATATTTAAAATATTAATTGATATTTATTTCAACAATAGAAAAATAAAATATTACTATTTAATGAACAAATTAAATTAAAATAAAAGATTCACCAAAACAAAATTTACTTTAAAATGTCTAAGTTTTATTTAGTTTCAAAGAAAAAAAAACCCAGTACAGTGGGGTGGTGGTACAGTGGGGTCGTGGGATAGTTGAATCCAGTATACATGATATCTGACAGTAATTAAAATCACTATCATAAAAAACGCTTCGATGCAAATCTATAGATAGTGTTTAATTTAAGATATATATAAAAGTGTCAGTATTTCCGAAACACTTTAAAAAGTTCAATGAAAAAGTTAATTTTTTGTAAGAAAAGTTGTCATTTTGAATCCCTTGTGGGTATGTGAAGGGTCAAATTTATAAAAAAAATATACCAAATGATAGGTTATTACATTATGCATCTATTAAAAAAAAAATGTATATTGATTCGTTCAATTTTGAAAAAGTTGTGGTAGTTTTAAATAAAAAAATTGAAAATATTTCGAAAATAAGCGATTTTAAAATTTGTAATTTTTTTGGAGGTTTCCTCCATATACGGGGAACGAGCAAAATTTTTTCCATTTTTGAGGGTAATATCTTCGACTAGATACGATTTGTGATCTATTGACATATCGTTGAAAGAAATCCGTTCGGTGAGAGCTGAGAAAAAGTAGTAACAGACACAAAAAAAAAAAAACACATCATAGAAAATTAATACTTTTTCAGCTTCGCATCGAAGCTAATATTTTAAGTCCAAATTAATTAAAAAAATGACTAATTCCCAGAGACTGATATCATGAGTAGAGTGTCGTAGATTTTGTGTATTTTAAAAATACCGAAAGAACTGGTTTAGATAGGAAAATGGCTTTTTATAGTCCCAAGGGGATAGGCCAGCGATCTCTAGCATGATTTTGGAAGCTAATGCTTTTTATTCTAATAGTTTAACTGTAGTGGGGCCCTGCGTATAGGCGTTATCTCTAAAATAAGTAGATTTTATCCCATAATAAACTGGTCATTTTGTATTTTAAATAAGCGAACCCTATTTTGGTGATCTTATATATTTATAATATGTTACATACATGTACAAATGATAACATAATATTATATGTTAATATTATAAGTAATAATATAACATTACATAAAGACACAACATAACAAATCTAGTAATATTTCAAGTATAACTATTGTAACGTTTAAATTAAAATATTATTTTATTTGTGGGGTGGAAATTTACCTTGAGTCAAACCTTTTATGTACTAGTTGTACTCAATTTAGAAGAAAAATTGAGCAAAGGTTTGTAAAAATTTATTTAAGTAAGGACTCAAGATATTAAAGATTAAGTATTCAAAGAACACTTTTGTCATAATAATAAATGTTTTTACGCGGTAGTATTTAAACAACATTTAAAAACTCCGACTGAATTCATTCAAAATCCAAAATCTTGGTAGACACGTATTATATTAGTAGCAAAAATAAGAGCATCTTTGTATAGAATGGGAAAGATTTCATAAGTTTATGGTTAAGATGTTATTAAAATATGATCGGAATTATATCGAGCAAACAATAGCAAAAGTAAATTCATTGAAATTAAATAAAACATGATTTTCACAATAAAGATTAAAACGAGGAAACAACAATTGTACTGTAGATATTTGGTTCCTTTAAGTTTATGTTCAGTTTTCTTATTGCAAAAATTATTGTGACTTGATTACACTTACAATATTTCAATAGTGTATTATTTAGGATTTGATTAAGAGTTAGTAATTATGTAATTATTACTCTTTCGTAAAAAAAAAAATATTATGTATATAATAAATTATATTATATTAATACAATTAATAATTTTTTTATATATTAATTTTTATCGTTAAAATATCTTTAATTTTTAGAAATTAATAGAAAGTTTTGAACTCTATTAAAAATGTATTTTTAAAATTTTTAAACGTCATTCAGTTTGAATGTATTTAAGAAAAATATTATATTATGTTATCTTTAAAAAACGAAAGAATTTTCTAATTTAAGTGTTTAAAGTCAAGTGAAGAATATTGTTTGTACTTTAAAAATTCCTCATTAAATTACTACAATAAAATAATTTGGAAAATTTTAATTTTACTTTAAATTTTAGATTTAAGAAGCAACTTAAGTTTACTATTTTGAACTTAATAATAATAAAAAAGTTTAAGAATTTTCAAGAAGAATAATTAACGACACTAAGATTTTATTCATAAACGTTCAAATATACATGATTTTTTCATATTAAGTAAAAATATAATTAGTTATTCAGATTTTATAAACATTTATGAATTTTATCTTTCTCCTAACTAGGTATAAAAATATTATATTTTTTTAAGTAACGGTCCAAAAGTTGTTGTCTACTAATCATTTTCATAATTAGATTATTTTCTAATATTTAACCTAGATAAATATCTATGTTACCTTTAAAAGAAATAATGTCGATACATTTATAAGTTATAATAGATTAGTCTAAAACATTTCATAACTTATGACCTGAGAATGTTTTTAACATAAAGAGGAAAAAATGTAATAAAATTGTTATTTTAGGAGATAT